AATTCTGTAAACACTGGCTTTGGGAATGTACCATTCATAGTGAAGAAAAACTGACCTAAGCTTGCTCACTGGTCTCCTTTTATTTGTATCTTATCTCTGTTCCTCACAACTTAGATGGAAAGCACTAGTATGAATCCTGTTATTTTTAATTTTGTTCCTTATAGTTTATAGGTGCCTCTTACTTTGACGATGCAGGATGTTTTCATAGTGCGGGGATGCCATTAGCCCTCCTGACTCTCACTCTCGTGAGCGTGCAGTCTGTTTCCCAGAGGCTCCATGATGGCAGGAGATTAGATGCAGAGGCTGACATGAGAATCAGGTGATCTTCTAATTAGATTTGTAAAAAAATCCACAACACTGCAATTTTCCGTTTGTATTGATTTTTGATTTGGAAAGTGCAGTGCTTTTTGTTTGTTTTTAATCACAGAATGAATGAAATTTATTTAATTTATTGTTATTTTTAAATGATTTATTAGATCTGCTTTTTAAATTTCACTGATTTCTAATTGGTAAGTATCTGTATGTATTCCATTAGACATGAACACTTGGGTGTTCTCTCTCCTTTTCTAAGTATAAAGGAGTTTGAGGCCATGAAGTTTCAGACCTGTCAATTTACATGATGTCTTTCTTTGGCTTTAAGGCAAATAGCCCTTTACTTTCTTTTTTCCCCCAAATAGTGTACTTTTCTACGTAATACACTGTGCTTGTGACAGTTGAGCATCGTTGACAGAAGACCTTAACTAATAAGGTTTAAGGCATGTAATAGCCACACATAAATTAAGTGAAATTCTCAAGTCAGTAAGCACTGGTGACTTGGGGATGCTTCTCAAGCAAGAGTTCCTGAGCTTCTAGGGGAAAAATAAAAGGGCTGTTCTAAGACTTAGCTCTTTCTGACCTAGTTGAAGTGATAGCAGAAGAGGAGAGTAATGTCTAACCTTTTGTTATTGTGACATGATGATGTCACCTATAGAGTTTACAGTAGAGAACCATGCAATTCAATTACCAATAAATAAATAAAAATAAAACCAAAAGAATAATATTCTGGGCCTGCTTTATGCACATCTATGTTCTCTTAACATCAGGGCAGAATACCTATGTAAATTTGATATTTTTCTGCACGGGAGATTTCCCTCTGTCTTTTTATTTTTTCAGTGATATATAGTAGTATGGGTGCATGGATTTTTATACTTGAGATTATAGATCACTGTTATTTTTTTGCTTAACGTGGTCTAATAATGAATTAGGTATTTCAGTTAGCTCCATGCCTCTTTGAGTGTGGACTGGTTCAGTACTACCTCTCTCACACTGAGATCTAGTAAGCTCATATTTCCTGCCCGGTCCTAACGTCAACCACATCTCCCAGCACTGCTTCCTTTGATTGCAGGAAATGTACCAAGATCTTGTCAGCAAGGTGTCTTTGGGTGTTTCTCTTGGGTGTTTCTTTCAGGCCCTCTCAGCTGACAGAAAAAGAAATGTGTGTGTATAGTAACTCACGAGTATGTACATACTTATAGTGTGCACATTTCTGTGTGGAACCATCTGTGTTTGCAGCACACCAAGAATGAGTTCTCACATTTTCAACTGTAATCCATCATCACTTGGATCACGCTAGTCACAGCAGTGAGAACCCCACCATATGCTCTCTGCTTGCTTGTTACACGTACCGCAGTGTCAGAATTGTTGACCTGGCCCCTGTGGGAAGCCACTTTATCAGAGTACAGTGCTTATGTGCACTCTCTTTTGTTTTCATCCGCAAAGACCCCTTTCATTTCTTTTCTTTTCTTTTCTTTCTTTTTTTTTTTTTTGTTTTTTTTCGAGACAGGATTTCTCTGTGGTTTTGGAGCCTGTCCTGGAACTAGCTCTTGTAGACCAGGCTGGTCTCAAACTCCCAGAGATCCGCCTGCCTCTGCCTCCCAAGTGCTGGGATTAAAGGCGTGCGCCACCACCACCCAGTGATCCCTTTCATTTACCCTTGCTTATTTCACCTTTTTTCTCTGTCCACCTCTGTTTTAAGAATGTTCCATACATTTGTGCTGCAGTCATATTTTATTGTTAAAAGTCTGTATATTGTCATAAGACCTAAAGGATTTGCAAAATTTTCATAATTAAGATTTACTTTTTTTGTTTAAAGTGCTGAATTTTAGCTGGGCAGTGGATGCTCACACCTTTAATCCCAGCACTTGGGAGGCAGAGGCAGGTGGATCTCTGTGAGTTTGAGGCTAGGCTGGTCTACAGAGCGAGTTCTAGGACAGCCAGGGCTACCCAGAGAAACCCTGTTTTGGAAAACCAAAATAAATAATAAAGTGCTGAGTTTTGATTAAAAGTCATATAGTATGGTGTCTTTGCTGTTATATAATGTCATAGAGAACAGTCTCAACTCTTAAAGGGCTGGTGTTTCATCTATTAATCCCTTGCCTAGACCTCTCAACCTCCTGATAACATGGAGTAAACTCTGCATACTTTTGCCTTTTACTTAATGTATTTGTAACTATATAGGACACAGAATTTCAGACTGGCATTTTACACTTAGCAATATGCATTTAAAGTGCTCTCTGTCTCTGTTTCTTTGTGTATGTGTGTGTGTGTGAGATAGAATTTTTTTATTAATTAATGATAATACCTTATATATAGGGATGAACCATAGTTTATCCATCTATGTATTGAAAAATGTCTGGGTTGTTCTGGTTTTGGTCCGTTAGGAATGAATGATATAAACAATATGTGAGGTTTTGTCTTTAGGTAAGTTTCCAAACCAAATGAATAAGTACAGAGTATGATTGCATTTTTTTAATGTTCAGAGTATGTTTAGTTTTGTGAGAAGTTCCTAAAGTGCCTGTAACTGTTTTACCTTCCCACCATCAGAGCAGGACTTCCTGTTTCCTTGCATCTCTCCTGGCATATGATGTCCAGCTTGTGGGGATCAATATTCCGATACATAGGACTGCTTCGTGTTGTGTGTGCCGATCTATAGTGATAGCATTGTTGCTATGGTTAGGTGCTGTCTTTCTGCTTTTTCAGTAAAGCTCATATTTAGATTTTTGGTCCATTTTTAATTTGGTTGTTTAGTGTCTTATGGTTGAATCTTAAAGCTTTACATGTTTCATTAAGTATGTCCTATATATATTATATATGTTCTCTGGCTTGACTTTGTTTTTTTTTTTTTTTTTTTTTTTTAGTTTTTTGAGACAGGGTTTCTCTGTGGTTTTGGAGCCTGTCCTGGAACTTGCTCTTGTAGACCAGACTGGCCTCGAACTCACAGAGATCTGCTTGCCTCTGCCTCCCCAGTGCTGGGATTAAAGGCCTGCGCCACCACCACCTGGCAAATATTTATTTATTATGTAAATATTCTGTTTGCGCGTATGCCTGCAGGCCAGAAGAGGGCACCAGACCTCATTACAGATGGCTGTGAGCCACCATGTGGTTGCTGGGAATTGAACTCAGGACCTGAGCCATCTCTCCAGCCCCTGACTTTGTTTTCTTAACAACATTTCTTGTAAAGCAGAAGTTTTAAATTAATTTAATAAGGTACAAACAAGTTTTTTCTTTCATGGATTTTGTTTTTGGTGATGTATCTGAAAACTCATTAACCAAGCCATGATCACCCAGATTTTCTCTTCCAAATGCCAAGTTCTGTAGTATTGATTTTGACATTTGGGTCTGTGATCCATTTTGAGCTCAGTATTATGAAAGGTGTCAGGTTTGTCTTGAGTTTTGGTTTACATGTGGTTGTCCAACTGTTGAGCACTTACCTTTTCCTATTGAATTGCCGTTTTTCTTTGTCAAAGGTTTTGTGTTTGTGTGGATTTGTTTCATCTGATTTGTCCATTTATTGTTCTGTCAAGACAACCACATTGTCTTCATTTCTTAGTAGGGTTAGGTGTCCTGAGCCTTTTGTCTCTCATGTCCAACTTCAGAATGAATTTGTCGATACTCATAAGACAGCTTGTTGCAGTTCTGATTAGGATTCTACTGTCTGTGCAGCAACTTGAAAAGAACTGGCATCGTAACAATTCTAGTCAAGAAAAATGTGGGTCTTCTTTGATTCCCTTCATAGATATGCTTTCCTATGTATCGATTGTATACATGTAAGCTTTAAACTTACCTTTTTTTCATTGTGTTTTAAATTTTTTATTCTAGTCATTATTATAAAGGAAAATCATTTCATATCTTAACCTTTCATTCTAGGCTTACTATAGTTAGAGTTTTTCTTGGTTCTTTTGGATTTCTACTGTGCCATCGATAAAGAAGATGCTGAGTTTTGTGTTCTTTACTCTGAACTAATTTCTCCTCCATCTCTTTTCTCCTCCTCTCCTTTCCTCCCCTTCTTCTTCCTCTCCTTTCTTCCTTCCCTTCTCCACCCCCTCTTCCTCAGGACTTGCGCATGCTAGGCAAGCACCCTATCACTGATCTACTCCCGTAGCTCCCCTTGTTCTGTTCCTCTGTCTTACTATATTAGCTGGGATTTCAAATCTGATACTAAGTAGAGTTGGCTGTGTTCATAATCCTGAGTGGGGAAGGAGAGGGGACCATCCAGTTTATTAATGTTAACTGTGCTTCTAACAATGGTTTTTGTATATGTTACTAATCTGCTCAAGAAGTCTCTCTCTTCCCTGTCACTTGGTAGAAGTGTTGGCCAGCTGTTTTAATGCGTCCTTTATTTCCTGAACTGATTAATATATCACAATGTGTTTTTTTTTGTTATGGATGAGGTGGATCATGTTATTTGCCTTCCTCTCTTGATTTTTCCCCTTCTTTCACTCTTTTCCTCTCCTTCCCTTTCTCTTCATTTTTCCTTTCTTTTCATCTCTTTCATTTCCGTCCTTCTCTTTTAAAAAAATTGAGTTTTTCATGCTAAAGCACTCATTATCTGGAAGGTGGTCACAATGAAGCAAAGTTTTAAAATGTAATAACATGAATAAAATAAGATTATTTAGATTAAGAGATTTTTAATATAAAGAAAATGACTCCCTGTTGATGTTTCTGTGCCTGCTTTTTCATAGGCAGAGTACCCTGCTAATGGACCGGAGTGTGGTTATGGCTCCTTTCACCAGCAGTACTGGCTCGATGGGAAGATTATTGCTGTTGGTGTGATCGACATCCTCCCATACTGTGTGTCTTCTGTGTATCTGTACTATGATCCTGACTACTCATTTCTGTCTTTGGGTGTCTATTCAGCATTAAGGTGAGACTGTAAGACTGCTTTGTACAGTTGCAATGAGTTCATGGAGGTTCAAGTAATTACTCATCTTGTGTATATTTCATTATGTAACAGTAGGAGTCTGTTTTATAGTATAATAATTTGCTGCTGCAGTAGTTCCCTTAGCTGTATATTAATATTTAAAAGTAACAGTTTTAGGAGGCTAGAGAGATGGCTCAGCAGTTAAAAGTACTTCCTGTCTTTTCAGAAGACAGGAATTCAGTTGACAGCACCCACATCTAGCTGCTGACAGCTCCAGGGAATTCTGCTGGTCCTCTTCTGGCTTCTATAGGAATTTGCATGTAACGTGTGCATACACACACACACACACACACACACACACACACACACACACGGTGGGGGGGCAGATAGTTGGGGGATAGAATAAAATAAACCCTTCTCTGTAGCGATATTTTAACAAATAAAACTTGCTCGAAGATGAGAGTATAAAGCTAGCCACACTAGTCAGCCATGCAGGCCAGGCTGTGGTGGCACATACCTTTAATCCCTGCAGCCACTAGTTAGCCATAGAGGTTGGGCAGTGGTGGCGGGCACCTTTAATCCCAGCACTAGAGAGGAATCTAAGGTGGGATGAGACAGGAACTCACTTCCTTTCAGTCTGAAAATTTTGTAGAGGTGTGAGCTCTCTAGTAGTTGTCTGTTTTGCTTCTCTGATCTTTCAGAGAAGATTTCTGTCTCTGAGTTTTTATTAGTCGTGCTACATCTCTCAAAAAAATAGCAGCTTTAGAAATGACACCATAGTTTGATGTTCATTTTCTAGCTTTTAATGTTTCTGTATCCTCTAGAGCGAATATGAGAAATCATTGTGGGCTTCTCTGAGATGGCTTAGGATGTAAAATGCTTTCCGGGTAAGCCCAATGTATGAAGTTTTATCTCCAGGACTCATATGAAGGTGTAGGATAGAAATGACTCTAAAAAGACCATAGTATGTCCATTACCTCCACTTCCACCATACACAAAATATTTTTCAAAAGGAAACCACATGTTTGGAGAAGTTTATTGTTTGATGTATTTATTTTCTAAGCTCCCCTGTCATTTATGCTCTATAAATGTAACATTATCTATATTGTTATCACTAGCATATATGTTCTCTCAGTGTTAAAGATGCAGCTAATGTGGTGTGAATGAATTAAAGGCATGTGCATCTGCTCAAAGAAAAAAAGACTTACACCACTTACATGGTTTTATGAACATATGGATTTGTATATATCCACAAACAAAGGAGGCATGGTATCATTAGGCAATCTTGTGGGACCACTTACATATTTGGTCTGCTACTGATTTGCAAAAGTGTCAAGAAACATGTGGTTATGTAGGCATGCAAATCAGCAATGGGGAGACCTGACTGTCTGCTGGTGACTGTGACCCTCCTCAGAAAATGATTTCCCGTTTGTGGCCATAGCTGCAGATACGTGTCACATAGCACGAATATCTTTAATGGTGAGAAGGTTTGGTTGGGAGTGTCTTCTCTGGAATATTTGTTTCTGTTCTATTTCCTACTTATATGTGTATACAGTACAAAAAAAGAAAGAGGTTTGGAAACTGTTTTGCCTTTGTTTTTCAAGTAGCATAAGTTTCTTTTCCATCTGTGCTTTTCTCATTGTGTTCCCTAGTATTTGTGTCTTTACTCACATTCTTACACCATTATGAAGTATATTGCCAGGTTATCATAGTTTACCTTGTATATTTAGTTTTTTCCTGAATTATCAAAGTAGAAAGAAGCATTGATAGTTTTCTTTAAATTATCAATTTGAGTTTTACAAATTAGGCTGATTTTTTTTTTTTTGCTTATGTCTCAGTGCCCATCTTGACATTTCCTGCCTGACTTTTCTCCTGACATTAATGTGTCAAAAACGAGTTTACAATTATACAGTATTTTTAACTGATCTCTGACAATCCTTTTTTTTGTGTATTGAATTGTACTTTATATAAACTAATTTAAAGACTAGAATATCTTAGATAGAGGTAGTGAGAGGTGGTCAAATTCAGGCTTCATTTTGAAGATAGAGTCCAGGAGCTTGTTGGAGCATTGGACATGAGTGTGGAGGAGTAGTTGAGACTGGCTCACGGACTTGAGTACGTGGTGGTGCGGTGATTCCAAATATGCAGGTCCAAAGTAAGAGGTGCCATCTAGACTAGCTGGGGTGCAGTCAAGAGTTATTGCGTATGGGTGGATGTTGAGGCTTTTGCATTTACTTGATTCTTTCCTCAGTTTGAATCTTTTTTTTTAAAGATTTATTTATTTATTTATTTATTTATATCTTATGTATACAACATTCTGCCTCCATGTATGCCCTCATGCCAGAAGAGGGCACCAGATCTCATTACAGATGGTGGTGAGCCACCATGTGGTTGCTGGGAATTGAACTTAACCACCGAGCCATCTCTTCAGCCCCTCAGTTTGAATCTTGAAAATAGATTAGTCCTAGGAATAGTAACATTTAGTCTGTTATAGAAACATTTTAAATAAGTTTTGGATAACTTTACAAAGATTTTAAATTTGTGCTGGAGAAATGAATAGAGTAGTTCTTTAAACCTGGACTTCCTTTACTGGACAAGGTGGCCTATGCCTGTCATCTCAGCACTCAGGAGGCTGAGATAGGAGTCTGAGGTCAGCATGGGCTATGCAGCAAGTTCTGGGGTAGGCTATACTGCATAAAGCAAGCCTCTCTAACAGAATAAACAGAACCTCTTGAATTTTATATATCCATTGCTGCTACTAAAAAAAAAAATAGAACAAGGAAACTCAAAAGACAAAACCACCATTCTTCTTGCTTTAGAAATTAAAATTTGTTGAAACTCTCATATACAGCCTGCTCATTTAGCTGGACAAGTAGGGGAAATTTTGTACCAAGATTTATCTTAATACAAATTAGAACCACTTTACACATAAGCATTTCATTGAAGATTGAACTTCTTTGTTTCAGCAGCCCTCATCCCTGCTAACAAGGCATGGAGCGAGAATGTGGTAATGTCCCTCTCATTTAGGGAAACGGTGTAGAAACTGTGCTTCTAGTTATACAATAAATTGTGAATCAAATACATTCGAAAGGGTTCTGTGTAAATGCATATATAATTTTTCCTGACATGTATCAGCTATTAAGTTTTTTTAAAAAAATTGTTGTGCTGTTAAAACAGTCTAAATTCCTTGGACATTCTAGAACATACTGAATAATATTATACATATCTTTATTTTCATCTTCTGTTGGTTGTAGATCGGCTCTTTTGCCCAGTAAAGTATAAAATCTGAATTTAGATGTATTTATTCAAAATAATTTTGAGATTTTGACGCTGATTGTTTAGTAATTATAATCTTGTATTTTAAAAATCATTTGTCTTCAAGATCTCCTGAGTAAACTGGGAACATGGGGACCATGGAAGAGGGTAGAAGGGGAGGGGAAAGAAAGCAGGGGAGAGGGGAGAAATATATAGTTCAATAAAAACAATTTAAAAAAAGCATTTGTCTTGCTGGGTGTGGTAGTGCACACACACCTTTGGTACCAGCACTTAGGAGGCAGAAGGAGGCCAGTCTCTGAGTTCAAAGCCGGCCTGGACTATCAAGCAAGTCCCAAGACAGGGCTGCACAGAGAAACCCTGTCTCAAACAAACACACAAAATCATTTTTATTTTAAGAGTTGGGTATTTTGATATTTTCCATTAGATTTTATTGCATAGATTTTTTTTTTTTAAATTGAAACCAGAATTAACTGTACGGTTCCCCCTTTTTTTTTGGCAGAGAAATTGCTTTTACTAAACAACTGCATGAGAGAGCATTGCAACTCAGCTACTACTATATGGGCTTCTACATTCATTCCTGTCCCAAGATGAGATACAAGGTAATGTCAGTTTCATATTACAGAAGATAAATTTTCACTAAGATTTGCATCTCGGGGCAGAGGATTTGAGGTGTGTAGCGGTGGGGATGGGTTATTAAGGAGGCCTTTTGCGCATTCATAAGGAGTTCTTTCTGAAGTGAGAATCCCAGCCTCCCTGTTCTCACAGAGATCTCTTACTAATGTTAGTATTAAGTATATTTTGTTACAATTTCCTTTTTAAAAAAGTTGTCAGAGTCTCTTTAGTGAAGGCCGTTGATTTTTCCTAAGTGCTTTATGGAACTGCAGAGGACCAGACTTCCCTGCCACTGTGACCACCACTTCTGTCTGTTTCACTGTATGGTGCTTAGCTCTGAGATGCGTGGAGATAGAGACAGATCTCCCTCTTAAGATATGTAATGCAAGTGATGCTGGGGGAATCTTAGCATAAAACTGAGTCATAAAGTGGTTGATAGATGGCCTACAAGGATGTGGGGTTTTCTTCCAGAGTGGAGGAGAAAGGAAGGAAGGGCTCAAATAAAGAGTAGATGTGATGGAGATACACAGAGTTCAGGGAGAAATGCTGGTAAGTTAGGGGTCAGAGTGCCAAACCCCTGAGGCTTTCATAGGAGAAAGAACAGACACTCCTGTAGAAGGAGCTGCAGACCGCTTCCCGCTGCCCGGCTCCCGGCCACTGGCAAGCTTTACCCAAAATAATTACACGGAAACTGTATTCATTTAAACACTGCTTGTCCCATTAGCTCTAGCCTCTTACTGGCTAACTCTCACATCTTGGTTAACCTATTTTTATTAATCTGTGTACCACTTACCAAGAAGATTCTAACCTGCGTCCATCTTGGAGAGGAGAGTTATGGCGTCTGCCTCACTGCCTTCTTCCTCCCAGCATTCTGTTCTGTCTTCCCCGCCTACCTATGTTCTGCCCTATCAGGCCAAGCAGTTTCCTTTATTAACTATCCAATGAAAGGAACAGATAGATAGAAGACCCACCTACATCACACTCCTGTCCTGGTTATAAGCAAGATTTATTTATTTATTTTAAAAACAATGTGAAACAGCTTAAAAAACATGCAAAAACAAAAAATGTCCCCCTGGACTCCCTGTGTGTCCTCTGCTCTGCAGTTGTTGACCTGCCTCCTCTTCCCTGTCCCCTGGACTCCCTGTGTGTCCTCTGCTCTGCACTTATTCACCTGTTTCTCTTACCGTGCTTTCACTCCACTCCCACCCTTATTTCCTTTAGAATTATTTTGGAACATAATGAGGATATCCAGTTTTTGGAAGACAGAGTCTAATACAGCCATAGCTGGCCTGGAATTTGATACGTAGACCAGGTTGGCCTCAAACTCTAATTGACCTGCTTCGGCCTCCCAGGTGCTGAGATTAAAGATTTGAGCTACCATGTCAGACAGCTATGATACCTTTTTAACTGAAGAATCCAGGACTGCTTTTTTTTTCTCCCTCTTGTATTTTGAGGTGCTGGGAATCAAACCCAAGAACTTGCAACTAACACTTCCTAGTTTTTATTGCATTTAAGAATATTGCTCTTGGACTTTATTATTTTTAAAAAACTATCCTAGTGGATGGAGATATAGCGGAGTGGTTAAGAGCACAGGCTGCTCTTCCAGAGGACCCAGGTTTGATTCTCAGCACCCACATGGAGGCTCACAACCATCTATAACTCTAGTACCGGAGGATTTAGTATTTTCTTTGTCCTTTCCAGGGACCAGGTGTGCACATGGTGCATGTGTATACATGTAGACAGAACATTTGTACACATGAAATAAAATAAGTCTTTAAAAACCCTTAAATTAATTCTTTCTTTCTTTCTTTCTTTCTTAAATTGAGCAAAGGTAACATTGAAGACTAGTATTTACATATGGGAATTTCTTCCTGGCCTTTTTGGTATGTTTTTGAAGTCATGAATCCTGAGGAAAGTCTTTTGAAAAGTTAGGAAATTGGGGAAAATATGTAATTCTTCCATAAAGTTAAAACTGAAAAATCTACATTAAAATGTTACTATTTTGTGAGTCAGGCATGGTGGTATACATCTTTAATCCTAGCACTCAGGATCTCTGTGAGTTCGAGGCCAGCCTGATATACAGAGTGAATTCCAGGACAATCAGGGATACACAGAGAAACTCTGTCTTGAAAAACCAAAAGAAAAAAAAAAAAAGGAAAAAGACGTTACTGGTTTGAGGTATCCTGTGTCAAATGGAAGGAAGATCTAGTAGAGACATGACTGAGGGAGCTTACAGCTGATATGACATTGGAGGAAGAAGGACAGGATTATGGTAGAGGAAGCTGTTGGGTCTAATCAAAGAGTCTTGCTTATTGTTGCTGCCATTAAAAGTAGGGCATGGAGCTATTTGTTGTTAACAGTGTAGATAGTGTTATAACTATAATAAGAATTTTAAAATGTATACAGTTAGGTATGATGGTGCCCAACTGTAATCCTAGCAACTTGGGAACAGAAGAATACTATCAGTTTGAGGCCAGTGTGGGCTACACATTGAATATGTCCCAGTCCATCTAGGGATAAATGGGAAGACAATGCCTTAAAAGACAAAATGAAAAGAAAAAAGAGGACCAGTGGGAGAGAGTTCAGCAGATAAAGACACTTAACTCTCTCATGCTGTCTTAGAGTTCAGTCCTTAGGACCCACATAGCAGAAGGAAAGAACTCCTGCAAGTAGTACTCTGACCTCTACATACACACACACACACACAGTAGATAAAATATTCTTCAAAAAAGAAAAGTATATATACTAAGTACCTGAGTAATGTTTCAAAAAGTAATAAGTTTTGGAAGCAAGTAACTTTATAAATTGGCAGTTTGAACTTACAGTTTTGTGTAATACTGCTGACCTACTACATTCCAAATGTTAGGTTATCGTAATAGTACCAAATAAGATTTACTGGCAGTTTCCATTATTTCAATACTTGTAAATAGTATTAAACTTAGTATTTCTTATGTGTTAACTGCTTTTAAAGGTATCTGTAATAGTGAGTGAAAATGTAACTTGAAATTCCAGGAATTTTCCATCTCCAGAACCTCCAAGTCAGTATCTTCAGAATTTGGAAACATCATCAAAACTGTAAAATAGAATAGATGACAAGAGAATGATTGGACGTCAAATACACCTTTAACTTTTTGTCCAGTTTATTTGTGTCCTCATTTTACCTTCTAGGGCATGATGTATCATTGACTAACGATACATGTTGTATCATTAGTGACTTTGTAGATCCTCTGTGATGATAATATTAATCTATTTTGTAAAGCCAGCATTTGCCTGGAATCACTGCATTTTAGCACTTGGGTTTTCAAGAACATATTGATTTTAATTTTATGTTGTTAGTTTATATTGTTTCCTAGGAGGGCTGGGGTGATTGCTCAGTGTGTAAAGTTCTTGCCACATGAGCATGAGGACCTGACTTTGGTACCCCAGCACCTATGTAAAGAGATAGGTGTGGTGGCACATGTCTAACCCAGTGCTGGAGCGTAGGGATAGGCAGATAGGGCTTGCTGGCTAACCAGTCTAGCCAGTCTAGCCAAACCAGTGAGCTCCAAATTCAAAGAGAGACTGCGTCTCAAAAAATAAGATAGAGATAGAGGAAAACATCTAAATTTAACCTCTGTCATACACTAAGGAAATTTTGTGCATAAAGCAGTACCAAGTGCCGTATGCTCAAAGATACATTAATGTTTCGTTTGGATTTTCTTGTATGGATTGGTTCAGATTAAGTTAGCAGTCTTTACTATATATATATTTGCTATATAAAATATATTACATGTACAAAAGTAGGTCTGATGTTGACAAAGCAGCTTATTTTACCTGTGTTGTGTTACTAAGAAACTGTTGTAAAGTCATGCTTAAATGATGATTCTTTTTTTTCCATGCAGAGATGACTAGAGGTTTTTATGATCACTGCCTTTCCTTGCCCATCAGAGCTGGTATCCACTTGCCTTTTCTAGGTGGGACTTTTCATGGCTAATGGATACTGTGTATATAACTGTTTAGGATTTCTGGGCTACAGTCTTATAGGACTGTTATTTTTCACTTCCATCTTTGGAGCCAGATGTAATGTAAAAGATTCAACTGTTCTACTGTAGAAAGAGGCCTGAAACCACCTTGAATATTTTAGTGCAGCTGCATGATTGAACCCAAGAGACCAGTGGCAAAACACCAACTGAATAGTCTGCCCAGAGTCCTGAACTACGAATTACTGTTTTAGGCTGCTGAGTGTTGGGATGGTTTGCAAATCAGCAGTGGATGAGGGATATAGAAGTCATACTTCATCCTGTGTTGATTGTGCAGGCTCATGTCTTAGAATAAGCTGATCTGGGCAGTTGTTACTGTGGTTCAAAGTAAGAGGTTTTGCAATGCCATTGAATTTCTCTGTGGTTGTACCAGAAATGCTGTGTGGTTTATGAGAGTTCATCTTACAAGGTTTTTGTTGAATGTTCTTATTTAGCTTGCAAGTTGTCTTCACATGTCACCAAGTTTAATTTTTTCTTGAGTTGCGAATGATGACCCACCACAAGATGAAATCATCTATGATTATCCTCATAGTTATATAAGCAGCATGTGTTACAGTAACTTCTCCTTTCTGCTTATGGTTTCTTCGTTTACAGCATTTAGTTTATCTAAAATGGTTTTGGTTAAAGATTGATGTGTATGGGTGTCTTACCTGTATTTATGCCTGTGCACCACTTGTGTACCTACTGCCTGAGGAGAGACTAGAAGAGGGCATTGGATCCCCTGGAACTGGAGTTACAGGCAGTTGTGAGTTGTCGTGTGGGTGCTGGGAATTGAACCTGGGTCTTCTGGAAGAGCAGCTAGTGCTCTTAACCACTGACCCATTTCTGTAGCCCTTATATTTTATTTTTAATAGTGCCATTGGTATAAATGTGTTCTGTGATCATCGGCTACCTTTGTAACTTCTAGTGATATGGAGTAAGCCTTTACTAAAACCATACCCTTTCAGCTTTTTTTTTTCAGATTTTTG